TTTTTTTTTTTTTTTTTTTTTTTTTTTTTTTTTTTTTTTTGGTACCGGGGATCGAACTCAGGCCCTTGCACCAGCAAGGCAGGCAGTGGAACCACTGAGCTAAATCCCAGCTTAGCACATATTTTTTAACGAGTTTGCCAGTGGCCAAGAAATCTTGACGATCACTATCAGTCTTGATAGAAATACTATTATGCACCAAATGCATACACTCTAAGGCTGGTGCAAGCACAAACTAGGCAGAATATATTTATTCTCTCCTTCTGAACTCAAGATCGGACTTGGGTGCATGTTTTTTTTTTCTGGTTCTCCACGCTAAACAAAGGCATGTTGTCGTTCATAGAAAGAGTAGCAGTTGAGCAACCACCGCAGAGATGGTCTGAGGTTGAATGTACACATCTTCTCTTTTCATGGGCCCAAGTTTCTTTATTATAATATTATTGAAAGACTGTTTGTAGTAGAAACCACAGTGCTGGTTGTGCTATCTGCTTCTATCCAGAGTTCACAGCGCTACACAGACTTATTCACCCATATTCTCAACATATGAGCTCTAGGTATATTCCTGTATCTCTCAGGAGATACAGATATAAGGATATAAGATACAGGGATACGATTTCATCCCTAAAATAATGCATACTATATGCCAGGCCCTAGTCTAAGTGCTTGAAGTTGATTAATTCACTTAACCAGTAAAAACAATCAAATCTGATAGGTTTGTGATTACCTCTATTTTGCAGATGAAGAAACAAAGGCACAAAGAAATGAACGGGCCCTGTGCCGTTCACTGGGTATATTGGCAGACCTAGGATTTTAAACCCAAACAAGTCTCATTCCACAGACCCCTCTATGAACTATTGCTTATGACTTCACTGAATAAATAAACACAGAAGTATTTTCAGTATAATCACTAGGGAACCCCAAAGACATCTTGATATTGTAGAACCCCTGATGTCTGTAAAACTTGGTTGAATCATTGGGCAAAACCAGTGTTTCAAATGCTACTCAATTTGTAAAGTAATAAAAGATGGAAGAGATAGATTCTAACCACTACCAAAAAAGCCAAAGCAAAATTAAATTTAATGGGGATAAACATAAGACATTCTTAAATGCATAAATCCCCACTACAAGCCACATAGGAATGAGAAACAACTCCAGAGTATGAGGACACTTCCTGATGAAGACTCTGGTTCACTAGTGACACAACATGGCAGGCAGACACTGTGCACACTGGCCGGGGCTCCTGAGTGTGTTACTTGTTTCAAGACATATCCAAAACTTCTCGAGGGCAAACCAAGGCCAATTCAGCCAAGCAAAACCTGCTGAGTCTATGTCACGTGGGGAACTGGGAAATGCGGCCAGGAAAAAGAAAGCAGGGGCATGAGGAGTGTGACTCTGACCTTCAGGTCCTGGGTAGTCAATCACTGGAAAAAAGGAACAAGATTCAGCTTTATTGTTCTGAGGAGAGACTCCAACCAAATGGATAAATGATTTGTGCTTCCATGTGAGGAACACAGCTGTGTCTATGTACAAAGCTTTCCCACAGTAGAAAGTTGGAGAGAGTGAACCCTTCCCCTCTGTTTCTCCAGGTAGCCCTGGCCCCACGGGTGACTTTCTCACAGACTTTCACCCTTTTGTGGTACCTGCCTTGGACTTGCAACTCCTGAAATCTCATGGCCTTCATCTACTTGACCACCTGTCCATCTCCAGAACTCTGGGTTCAGCAGAAAGTTGGACCGGTGCCTTCCAAGCTCGTTTCTGAGGTAGGATTCTATGCCTTCTTGATTCCATTTTGGAGCCTTGAATGAAAAGGGAAAAAAAAGTATGTTATCTCTGTTTTCTGGGGGAAGAAATACCAGAGTGCCAAGTAACAAGCCAGAATTAGAGATAAATGTCTCTCCTCTCACACCTACATTCCAGCTCACACTTGAATCTTTCCTTCTACCCAACCAACCTTAGCATTGTAACAGAGCAACCTAGTCCTAACCTTATTCTAGAAAATTGGTCTGCTCCCCTGTGGCCACTATGTCATTCAGCTGAGAGCATACTATCATTTCTAAGTTAATTTGTGACTTAATTGAAAATGTAGGGAAGCTCTGACGTTGCAGAAAATGGTAAATTGTTAAAATAAGCCAGGGTCAGGAAAATACAAAGTTGAATAAGGTTGTGTTTTCCTTTGTTTTTGTTTTTTTGTTTTTTTAACCAGCCTTAATCAGAAAATTATGTTGATTTGTGAAGGGTCTGGACTGGCATCATCTCTGAGTTGCCTGAGAAGACAGTTCTGTGTTCAGGCCAGGACTGATGATTTGATAAAGGTGCTTTCCAACTCAGCTTCCCACAATAGTCTACCTCTGCAGGGTCCATTTGTCCAACGGACAGAACCTGACAAAGAAGACCACAGTCCCTGACTGTGGTTATTCCCAATTTGATGGTCTAATGGTGGTATGTCGTGTGGTTAAATTTTTAAACTCTTAACACATGCACTAAAGCTATTGGTAAAATAATGGCTTTTCTTTTCAACTCTGCTGCGTTTGGCAGCCTACTCTTCAGGAACGGATTCCTCCCATTTCTTCTTACTTCTTGACCTCTGTGGCTATTTTCCTCCTGGCAAGGTCAAGCCCTTAACATCAGGATTGTGTTAAAAGAAAGACAAGCATCTTCAAAAAGTTCTGAAATTACTGGGGTTATGAAAAGTGAAGATTGTTTCTCCTACACAGAGGGAAAAATCTATACCTCAGTCCTGAGCAATTCAAATCTCTATCAACTTCCGAGTTTGGGACAAATGCTCTCGATTTCTCTATTTTGCCCTCGAGACCTGTACTTGCCACCATCTACAGCTAATTGTTGTCAGTAGCAGCGTTCTCCTGGTGATAACTTCACTATCTGTCACTCGTTACCAGTTAATCCACCAATACATTAGAAAATGGAGTTAAACTGAAATGCTGTGGTAATTAAACATAAAGGGCAGGGAACATTTATTTGCTAACTTCTTTCCCAAAAATTATTTTTGCGGAGTGGCAAACTGAAAACCTATATCCTGACACATCATTGTACACGGTCGCCGAGACTCTCCTGGGTCAGGGTGGGGGATGGAAAAGGCCCCTGCCTTCATTCAGGACATCTGGGTGTTAAGCACTTACCTGGAAGACCACATTCACTCAGTTCCTTCTTCACTGAAATGTTCAGGCAAGTCACAGCAGGGTTGTTCTACCTGCTTTCCTCTGTGCTGAGACACACAGGTCAAAAGAGAAGTCAATGCGAGGCTGAAATTCCTGTAATTTACAATCTTCAGCTTGTGGATCAGAGCCAAAGGGCTCAGGGCTACAAAGTGTAAACAGACCATTGTTGCCTCTTAATCTGGGTAATTGGTCCCAAATGCTGTTGCCACTTTGCAGATCGATGCTTTCCATACTTTGTAAAGAATCTGGAACTTTTCTCTATTGGCAGGAACAGTTTGGAGTGTTAATTCGGTCTTTCATCAGCACTAAGATTCCTATAAACAGCCAGGTGATACTACTCGAGGGCCTGTAGACCCAGGAGGCTCAGGGCCTCCTCTGAGAATTCCACTCCCTCTTCTTGTGTTCAGCATCCCTCATTTTATCCCACAGCCAAGCTGACTGCTGTGTGTTTAATCAACAAACACAGTTTCGGAACAAGCCGAGCAGACTGGACCACCTCCTAGAGGATGTCGGCCAGATTTCAGAAGCGGGGCTGCGTCCTTGCTGGGTAACGCGGCGCAAGGAATCTGGCCCAAGGGCACTTGTTTTGTGACATCATCTTCTGAGGAAAAATGTGGGGACCCTGTACAAGAGAAGACCAGGCCTGGGGAGGGCTACAGGCTGTCTGAATCAGGGCAGGTTATAAAACCTCTCTGAGTCTTGTTTTCATATCTATAAAGCACAGTTAATCATATGTACCTTGCAAATTATCATGAGGATTAAATGATATAAATAATATAAAGGATAAGAAGGTGTTACACCTATTATCATATTATGCAAAGTATTTTTTCCAGCTTTAATTGAGTTTATTGGTACATTTTAGGGATACAGTACAGTTGCATTCATTGTTGGGATTTTGTATGCAAAGTATTTTTAAATCATATTTTTAGACTATTTTTCTGCCTCAACCTATACATGACCAGAAACGAAATTTTCTTTCCTTGTGAGACCTTCAACTTGGACTTTGGTATTTAAGAAAATACAGTTTTTCTGATGGGCCTTTCAAGACAAAGACAAAATCTTAGAATTCCTTTAATTTGTTTTTCTCTTAGATTTCCCTTTTCACTTCTCTCCAACCTCCCTAGTGACATTTTTAGGCCCTCATTTTTCTTCTAAATATTTCTAGAATGTCATCAAGTTCTCTGTTAAACATTGCTTGGTCGAATTCTACTTAGTTGTTTGGATTTTCTGTTCCAAATCCGTCTCTCTTGCCCTGCCATTTGTTTCTTTAAATCCATTCAGTCTTTCTCCCTCCTAAATCCCTTCCTAAATCTGAGATAAAAAGATTGGCTAGGAATGAGCTTTCTCCACTTCGGCTTTCTCCAGTGAAGTTATTACCGTCCTCAGTAGTCAAAAAATGGGAATGTATCCCTCCTGTTCGTCATCCATTGAAGTTTGTTTTCGAAACAACACTATAATCGTCTCTTCTCTACACAGACAGTGTGTCACTGCACAAAAGTGCAGAGAATCCTAAGCAAGACATCCTGGGGTTCTGATCACTTTTACAAGCAGTGCAAACTTTGGAAAAATCCTATACCTTCCCTGCGCTTTATCTCCCTCGGCTGCAGAATGGAAATGGCTGTGTTTGCCTCGTACTATTACAGTAAACTGAAGTGAGTTAATACGTGTAAAGTGCTTAGAACAGCTCCTGTGTATCACAAGCACCCTCGAAATGCTTGTTAATAATATTTCCTGCATGTTCTCCTTTTTAAAAAAAATCTTACGTGTATTTAACAATTCAAAAACTGTCCGTTTCCCTTCTGTGTCTCTGACATGTGGTTATCTTTTCATGTATGTCCTTGAAGATATTTATATCATTCCTCCCTATTACAAAACATGATGAGAAATACGAAATAAAGTATCAACAATTCCAAAGATACCTTTCAGTTCTGTCTGCCCCGATCTATGTCTATGCTTCCTTAGCTAAAGTGGGATGAAAGTTTCATTGTGAACCCAGAACAACTCCAGAGTTTACCTAAGAGTAGTTGAACATAGATTAGGATTAGAAAAAAAGCTGGTTTGAATTTTAGGTGAACCTCCTTTCTACTTTCAAATGCCTTTAGAAGATTTATCATTTCAGGTGGGTGCCAAATGCAGTTTGGTACATTCCTCTGAATTTTACTTTGAGCTTGTTATTTGAATGAACTCAAATTCCAGACAGCTTCATCCTTATTTAATTTTTCTTCCATTTCTACCTCTGATAATAAAAAAATATTAAGTAGAAATTGAGATACTCTATTCAGTCCCTGAGAAAAGCATAGTGTTGTGGAATGCGTGCATTTCTTCATCTCAGTAGTGAATATAACTTCATATTTATTATTAGAAAAATACATTTTATAACATGTGCTTTAATGAGTGAGCTAATTTTGCAGACTATCCCGCAATTTTACTGCATGACATAGCAAATTGATTAGATAATGATTAGCAAAATCATCTGTTTCAGTCAACATTTAAAGATCTGCATCATATCATCTTTTATCTCTTGCTGAGTTAAACTGACTTTAAAATCAAATTTGTATAATTTAAGCTTTCTCCTTTTTTGCATGTTATCCTCCAGAAGTCTGAAGCCCAGACTTTAAGCTAGCTAATTCCCTCAAATTATATGCTAGAGGTTTGGAAAGATTTAAGGATAGATCTTTTATATCAAAATGATAGGTTCACAGTTCCTGATTGATGATCTTGTGCATATAAATGATATATGCCCATTAGATAAAAGGGCCTTCTGGGATGAGAAGATTAGGCAAAAGTGAGTTTAGAAAAATTTCTAAATCTTATGTTTTCAGAGAAAGGAGAAACATGTAGCCAGCATCTGTGTTATTGTAAAACAAAATAATCTTAAAGAACATCTATGAAGCTTATAATATCAGCAAGCTCTGTAAAGATTATTTGCCTAAAACTGCATTGTTTCACTCCAAGAGTAAAATGGAAGCTTTGCAGTTACATTGCACGGAATATCTATTTTTTTTCCATTTAACTAAAAAGAGTTATTCTTGGATAATTATTTTTCTTTAAGAAATATACACTATAAATATACTACTGATACCTTTCCATAAACTGACCACGTTTCACACTGTTTTAAGAACAAAAACCTGAAAACACAAGAAATAATGTCATGAGTTTTTCGTTCTTCCAATCTGTAGTCTCCAAACTACTGTTCATACAAATAAACTTTACAACATCTTTGAGAATCCCAAAAAACTTTGGTCAAGATTTTTTTTTTTTTTGGCTCAAAAAGAAAGCAGCTTTGATATTCAAAAATTTGGCCTCTCTCAATCAACTCCCAAAAGGGAAAAATCAGCTAATCTTAGCAAGATGGTAAATTTTAAAGATTCTGTAATCTAACTTAGTGCTCAATCATATTTTAAAATATGATTAAAGAGTAGAGAGTGGGGGGGGAACATAGAAATTTTCAGAAATAACCCAAAATAGAAATGTTAAGCATTTCTTTAGGAAGCATTTCTGTTTCTAAATTAGAGAATGAATAGTATCTTACTGAAAAATAGCAGCAGTGTTTGTAATGGCATGTCCTACTGAGGGATAACAGCAACAACAAAAAAAGTCCACATAATATATTCTGTTATTGGATTATTTAAAACAATATAAACATCAGATTTTTACTGGTCAAGTACTTCAGATGCCACCTTAGAGAATAAGCCAGCTAAATGCCGACACATGTAGACACAGACACTAACACTCATGAAACATACAACTACGCACGCACACACACACACACACACACACGCACACATGCATGCACATACGAACACACATGCACAGAACCTGACTGGGCACTGCTCTGGGTCCTTGATAATTTGGGCATATTGTAAGCCCTAGAAAGAATTTTAATCTACATGGTTGGAAAATAGGGGCCTTTTAAATATGCTGCATACAATTTGTGATGGTCATCTCTAAAATGCTGTTCCTTTATCCTTTTCCATTTGGAATGAATGAGGCTAATTAATTTCAGGCCATACTTGATGAGGTCAGCACCATACAAGGGGTGCGTGCTAGACATTGCTAATCTCTTTCAGCTGAGAGTGATGAATTAAAGATGAAGCATGCCTTTGCAGGCCTAATTTAGAATGTATATCAAAAAACCTACAGCAAATAATACTATACACTACAACAAAGGAAAACTTGTTCGCTCAGACTCCCTGAGTTGTGTTGATTTTAAAGACATTTTCAGCCCTATTTGGAATTCCAGCGATAGATGGATGAACCATAAGAAGAATATCAAGCCGTCTCTCACACACATGCCCATGTGGACAAAAAGTGTGATTAAAGGAAGGAAGGAAGGAAGGGAGGGAGGAAGGAAGGAAGGAAAGAAGGAAGGAAGGAAGGAAGGAAGGAAGGAAGGAAGGAAGGAAGGAAGGAAGGAAGGAAGGAAAGGAGAGAAAGAAAGAAAGAAAGAAAGAAAGAGAGAAAGAAAGAAAGAAAGAAAGAAAGAAAGAAAGAAAGAAAGAAAGAAAGAAAGAAAGAAAGGAAAGAAAAAATGCAAAAACAAAACACAATAATCAGGGTTTGATCCTTTGTGTCTTAAAATTCCACCTACACATTAGGCACTTTTTTTTTTTTTTCAAATCTACCAGGCTCACAATGATCCTAAATTAGCAGTACCTGTATTTAAGTGATGACCACCGAACTCTGTTGGGACATTTCGAAGCAACATGCTAAATGAGGCCTGTTGTTTTTAAAGCAGATATTCTAATGAGCCTTATTAGGTTTTTCCATGTCTCTATTTTGAAAGCCAATGGAGATTGACCAGGTAGATAATGTGATACCTTTTATTAAGCCAAGAAAGAAATTGTAATACAGATGCCTCCAGGCCAAAATGTTCTTATGAAAGTTAATGCTAAGCCAACTTCCGAGTTGTGAAAAGGGAGGTACTTGCTGATCTAAACTACAAAGAGAAAAAGGAATTAGTCATAATTTCTCAAAGATGACTATTACAAGTCCCAAAGGGTGGCAAGGAAGGTGGTTTAGCCCAAACACTGAGAACTGTACCATG